GACCTGCTGGAGGAGGAGGTGAGGCAAGTCTGGCCCCAGCCACCCTATGTCCCCACCCACCACACAACTCCACCCAGCCTGGACCACCTACTGACCAGCCTCACGCTTGCTCCCAGGACTGTTACATCCTAGACCAGGGGGGTTTCAGGATCTACATGTGGCAGGGACGCATGTCCAGCACTCAAGAGAAAAAGGCTGCCTTCAGCAGGGCTCTGGTGAGGCTATGGGGCCCTGTCTCAGAGGGACATAGCAGTGTGGGGGCGGGGTGGGGGGCGTGTTGAAGTGGGAGGCAGCCTGCCCTGCTGACTGAAAGAAGAAGCCACCCTACCCTGAAGTCTGATCTGGGAGACATCCATGTCTTGGGTTCTGAAAGGGCTGGCAGTCCTGCCCCGGGAACACTGCCTGCTGGGGGAGGACATGACCCTGCCCCAGGACCTAAGCCTGGAGACACAGCTCTGCCCAGGAGTCCCGGGAGGAACACAGGGCCCCTCTCTGGGGTACTGGGGACAAGTGGCCTGGCCCTGGATGCCCTGATGAGGGAAGACCAGGTAGTACCCAAGAAACCAAGTGTAAAAGGGGGACGTTGCCCTGCCTTGAGGTCTGAGGAGCCCATCGCACTGAACGCCCCTCGTTTTCGAGGACAGGTGATAGGGCTCTGCCTTTGGTCTGATGGGTTGTCATGGCCGTCCCTTTCCGAGGCCTGTACTAAGAGGACCCTGCCTGTCCTCAGGGACCTCGGAGAAGTCCCTAGTGACACAGCCAGCTCCAAAAAGCAGGTCATGAGCTCCGTTAATTACCAGTGCTCAGTGCTCGGCTGGCCCTGCGGCCTGAGCTGCAGGTCCCTGTGGGTGGAGCAGCGGAGCATTGGCCCCTGGGTGGCGCGCCTGACGGAGCCCCCGCCCCAGGGCTTCATCCAGGCCAAGGGCTACCCAACCTACACCAACGTGGAGGTGGTGAACGATGGTGCCGAGTCGGCCGCGTTTAAGCAGCTCTTCCGGACTTGGTCTGACCAGCACTGCGGAAACAAGCACCTGGGCGGTGGAATGGGTGAGTGGGAGGGGTGGGGCCTGGGCCTGCAGGCCATGGACAAGGGCAGAGGGTGTCAGTGACACAATGTGTCCCACCCTCAGGCAAACTGAATCAGGTAAAGCTGAATGCGGGCAAGCTGCGCAGTCAGACTGAGCTAGCGGCCCAGCGCAGGCTGGTGGACGACGGCTCCGGAAAGGTGGAGGTGAGCTGCACTGGCTTGGCTGGGGGAAGATAGGCTCAGAGGGGTAGGCTTTGTCTTCAAAGGAATGGTGTGGCTGCTAAAGCGACCCAGGTACACGCAAGTACACATTTACACACAATTAGGGACACCCAGGGACATGTGTACATATACACACCCCCTCCCGACAGCCAGCTCATACACATTACACCTAATCAATCACTCGCAACCATGGCCACTCATAACACTCATGGCACACACATAGTAACACTCAGACACTTACCTGTACCCTTTTGTCACATGTATGACACAAACAGACACATGATAGTATAGACACACATACTCATACCTTGAAATTGCACTTAATCGCAGCGAAATACACAACTGCAAGCATGTAATTGCACAAATTTACATCACAAATGATTGGTCACATACCCAACCATCAACCCACAGGGACACACCAAGACAGATACACAGTCACATATAATCAATCACAGCCCCACACACCCAATCCCCAACCCCCAACGTACAGTCACACACCATCAGCTACCCCTCTGATCTTAGACCAGCGTTCTGGGAGACACAGGGCTCGGGGGCCACTTGCAGGCTCTGCATGGGGCAGGGCTGCATCTTCACTCGTTGGCCAACCCCTGAGCAGAGCATTTCATTCCTTTGGGCCTCAGGGTTTTTTCCTGCAAAGTGGATTCTATTCTATCTGGCCCCAAGGCTGGTGTGGGGATGCGGTGAGATTCTGGGAACAGGGCTGCTGGGCTTGTGTGAGGGGTTCTAGGTCTCGAGGTAGGTTGAAGTCAGAGAAAATATTGTTTCTTGAAGGTCTCTGCCTACAATCGCCCTAATTTGGATGGACAGAGGCAGTGAGTGGGGAGAGACCAAGATAGGAGGAGACAGGGCAAGGTGGGGGAAAGAGAAGAACAAGAGGGGAAGTAGAACGAGAGGGAGGACGGAAGAGGCAGAGGAGACAGAAGACAGAGCAGGGAGGAGACGGAGCTGTCGGTGGGGGAAATGTAATGAAGAGCAGGGAGAGACGGGGGCAGACAGGCAGACAGGAAGACAGAAAAGCAGAGAGGAGGGCAAGAGAGGGAAGGGAGGAGGGTCTTCGACCCAGGTCACAAGCACAAAGGCGGGGAGGGGATCCCTCCCAGCATGCTCATGGACACGCAGGTAGAGGCGGGGGCCCAGGAGGGCCCGGGCCACAAGGCCTGGCTGCCAAGTAATTGCTGCTCCTGGGTGGCATGTGTTCAGAGTCAGCCTCTTCTGCAAAAGGCAGGAATCTGGATGCTCTGGTCTGGAGACCTTTTCCAGAGGCAGCTGCCGGCCTCTGTGTGACCACAGGATGCCCAGGCATTGTTTCCCACCATGGCAAGGTGGGTGTTGTTATCCCCAATTTACAGGTGGGAAAAACCGAAGCTCAGAGAGGTCTCACTGCCAACACAGCTGACCTGGGTTTCGGCCAGGTCTGCCTGGCTCCAGAGCCCATGCTCGCTACCCACAGGAACAAGAAATCATGCTGTCAAGTGTGAGGAAGTGCATTCGCTTTAGTCTTTGAACAGGCTTTGCTTTTTTTAAGTGACCCTTGAAAAAAGGGAATTTTTCCAAGAGCCCCAAGGCCTCACTTCTGCCAAGCTTCTGTTGCCCTGGCCTGAGTAGCAAGTAGCTCTGCCAGGACCTATCTGCCCCTAACCCAGGCTGTGACTGTTGGGGTCAGGCTGGGGGTCTGTATGTGGCAGGGGTCAGGTCAACCTTGACAGCCTCTGTAGTCATTACCACTTGTTTGTCTCAGATACCACGTGCCAACTTAGAGTCCTGGCTGAGATCAGGCTGGCACAAGTGTGGTGGTCCCAGGGGTCCACGGGGGAAAGGGTCACCTGCAGGTCCTCACATAAGCCCAGCACAGAACATGGGGTAAGTGCAGAGCTGGAGGTGAGCCCCTTGCCTGCACAGATGAGGCTGGAGAGAGCTTTCTGGCTGGGCACAGGGTGAGTTCAGGTGAAGGAGCCACCTGTGCCCATTGGTTCCCCTGATCCCCAGGTGTGGTGCATCCAGGACTTAGGCAGGCAGCCTGTGGACCCCAAGTACCATGGATGGTTGTGTGCAGGCAACTGCTACCTTGTCCTCTACACATACCAGAAGATGGGCCGTGTCCAGTACATCCTGTATCTATGGCAGGTGCGCCAGCCCAGGGGAGATAGTGGGCACCTGCCAGCCCCGAGGCTGAAAATCTGAGAATGGAATGTAAGAGCTGCTTCAGGCCCTCACCACCCCCACCTGCAGGGTCACCAGGCCACCGCACACAAGATAAAGGCCCTGCACTACAATGCTGAGGAGCTGGACCTCACGTACCATGGAGCCCCAGTGCAAGAGCACGTGACCATGGGCAGCGAGCCTCCCCACTTCCTCGCCATCTTCCAGGGCCAGCTGGTGGTCTTCCAGGTAGAACCCACCTTGCTGCCATGGCTGCAGCCTCACCAGCTGCTCCACGTGCCTGTAGCCCTTAAACACACATGCTAACACCTTCTCTCCAGGCCGGAGGCCCAGCCTACTACCCTAAACCCCTACCCTGGTTTCCCGGTCCTTGTCCATGGCCCAGGAGCTCCAAGGGTGAGCCTGCCTAAGTTTATTTACCCAGTCCTCAGAGCCAGCCACAAAGCAGGAGCACAGGTGAGAAGGGAGCCAGGACATTGCCTGGGATCCCAATTCTCCACCTTCAAGCCCGGGGGACTCTGCCCTGACCCCTCGGAGATGGGTGAGGCATCCATTTAGAAAGGCTTGGTTCCCTGTTCTAGACTGACAGGGTCCTTACACTCTACACCCAGCGGGTCCCGAAAATGGTGGTGGCTTCAAGCATGGGTCCCCTGGGCCCTGAAGCCCACTGGGACAGGGAGGCGGCCCCCAAGAGTCCTTTCCTGAGGCCTACCCCTCTCGTAGGGGAACCCTGGGTACAATGGGAAGGGGCAGCCAGCATCGGCCACGAGGCTCTTCCATGTGCAAGGCACGGACAATTTCAACACCCGGACCATGGAGGTGCCAGCCCGGGCCTCAGCCCTCAACTCCAGCGACATCTTCTTGCTGGTCACAGCCAGGCTCTGCTACCTCTGGTTTGGGAAGGTACCCTCAGCATTGACCACTTGATTCACACCTGGGGTAGTGGTGCCAGGTAGGGATTGGGCCAATGCACAGAGGATGCAGACCTCAAATCCAGCCTCAGACAGGCAGGGAAGCGGGTAGAAGAGGCCGTAGTGTCCTCTCTAGAACCTGGGGTAAGTTACAAAGCGACAGGTGGACCTGGGAGTCCACAGGGCAGAGCTAGGCCAGGCCCGGGCTGCCTGCCTTCCTTCCTACCTTGAGCATGGAACATACCCCTTCGCAAGACTTTTGGGAAAAGGAAGTGACCTAGTCCAGTTTGCAATAATTTTCTCTGATCTTCACATAAACCGTCAATGATCCCCAAGCTTGGGAGTCCCCATCCCATGCTGTGGCCCCAGAGAGGCCCCAGTCCCTGTGACATCGATCAGCTGGGGAGATGGAGGCAGGGACAGGGAGGGAGATCACTTGCTCACGTGTGCCCCACCATCAGCCTAGGCCTCCAGTGCCTCGGGGCCCTGTGAGTGGGGGCTGTGGGGCTGGAGGTGAAGATCCCTCCCCCTGCAGGGCCTGACCCAACTCTTTGCCTGCTAGGGCTGCAGTGGTGACCAGCGCGAGATGGCACGGATGGTGGTCACTGTCATCTCTAAGAAGAACAAGGAAACAGTGCTGGAGGGTCAGGAGCCTCCCCACTTCTGGGAGGCCCTGGGAGGCCGGGCTCCCTATTCCAGTAAAAAGAGGTGACAGGGTTGGGAGAAGGATGTTCTTCTTACACAGAAGAGGAAACTGAGGTCCAAAGAGAGTGGGTGACACAGGGAGCTGGAGAAGCCAGACTAGAGCGGAAGACTTCGCTCCTCACCCAAGGGACTCACTCCCAGGAGCACATTACCCCTGCTACTCTGGGTAGCTTGGATCAGGAAGATGCGGAGCAAGCAGGGCAGTAGCGCCCTCTGCTGGCTCAATATGCTCCCTGCATTGTCCCAGTCCTAGACCATCCCACTGGCAGAGGCTGTTCCCCAAACCTATAGTCCCCAGGGCGGATGGTGCCGCGTGTGTGTGTGTGTGTGTGTGTGTGTGTGTGTGTGTGTGTGTGTGTGTAAATGTAGTGTAATATGACATGGGTAAACAGCAAGTGTGGAGTGTGCAAGAATAGTGTGTGTGTGGTGTGTAAATGGATAAAGGTGTGTATCAGAAGGTAGGGCAGAGTGTGGGTTCAAAGTGGGGAATCCTGGGCTGCTCTGTATTGTCTGTGGGGCCTGGTTTAAGCACCACACTTCCCCCAAGTCTCCTGAGCGCCTAAGTACTACTGTCCCCCTGTCTCAGCCTAGCCACCTTCCTCCCACCCTGGGCCTAACACCCACTCCCAGGCAGCGCTGGGACAAGTGACTCCTCCCTCCCAGGGAGGGCAGGGCTCCAGCTCAGGCCCACCCCGCTAAGCCAGCATCCTCTTCCCAGTGTCCCCGCCTGAGAAAATCCGTGGGACAGCTTGCGTCTAGCTGGGTAGGGCGAGACAGATCACCTAATCTACTTTCCCACTGACAGATGGGGGACACTGAGGCCCAGGGAGGAGAAAGGCGTTCCTAAAGTGAATTAAGGGGCGGGTGGAGCTCAAAGGGGAGCCTCGTACCCCTGGGGATGTCCTTGTCTCCCTGGGGTCTGGGCCCCTGTGCCGAGGGCTAGCATGGCCCAGGCTAGCGAGAGGCACAGAGCTCTCTGCACCCCTCACGGCCTTGTGCCCACACTGGCTAGCCTCCCAGAGGAAGTGTCCGGTTTCCAGCCACGACTGTTTGAGTGCTCCAGCCCAGCGGGCCAGCTGGTCCTCATGGAAGTGGTGTTCTTTAGCCAAGAGGACCTGGACCAGTATGACATCATATTACCGGACACCTGGCAGGAGGTGAGACGGCTACCCCTGCCTGACTTGGGTGTGTCTGCGTTTGTGTAACTGGGTGTGAGTGTGTGTGGCTTTGTGTTTCCTGGCACGACTGCATGTAAGGCCGCAGGGGTGTCTGTGTGACTGTGTGTCACACTGACACTTTGTGTGACTGCATGACCGTGGATGACTCCATCACAGTGAGCCTTTGGGAGCCATTGACTATGAATCTGGAACTAGTGTGTGGTTGTGACCAGTTTTGTAGTTCCATGTAATTCTCGGTGCCTTAAAATGGTGTGTGGTGTCAGGCGACGGCCCGTGGCTGACATGTGTCAGTACAGAGTGAATGACTGTAAGTCGAATGACTGCCTGCCTGTGTATGTGTGATGCCTCCGTGTGACTGCATTTGCCTTTGTGAATGTGGCTGTGTGGTCAAGTGACTGGCCGTAGCTGGCCAGAGCAGCCGTAACCAGTGAGACTGTGTATGTGAAAAACTCTATGACCGGCCGTGGGTGTGAGTGACTGAATGATTGTATTTGTGTGGTTGTATGCAATGGTTTTTCAGGCTACCTGTTTTTCAGGGTCGATGTGTGCAACCGTGTAATCAAGTGTGATTGTGTTTATGTGTAACTCTGTGTGACTGTGGGTGACAGTCCATGGCTGTGATTTGCTATCTGGCTGTGTGGCGATGGATGAGAGTGTCCGTGTCACTGTGTTGATGTGAGGAGGCCTTTTGGCTCCCATCTCACTCAGCAAAACCACAGCCCTTAGGACAGCCCCGCATGGCCTGACACCCCGACTCTCCAGCCCGATTTGCTCCCACTCTCTCCGTCACTTGCTTTGCTTCAGCTACAATGGCCTCCTTGCTGGTCCCCCAAAATGCCAGGCACGCTCAGGGTCTTTGCCCTCGTTGTTTCTTCCGGTTACAACACTTGCTCCCCAGACGCACACAGGACTTGCTCCCTCGCCTCTCTCTGACCTTGACTCTCATGTCCTCTTCGCAGCGAGGCTCTCCCTGACTTGAATTTAAAGTTGTATTATTCCCACCACCACCACACTTACCTTCTTTCTCTGCCTTATTTTTCTCCATCTGATATACTACATATTTCACTTATTTTCTGTCTCTTCCAATAAAATAAAAACTCTACTAAGGCAAGAATTTTTTTTCTATTTTCACTATTGAATCCCCAGTACCTAGAACAGTGCCTGGCCCACAATAGGTATTCCATATATATTTGTGGGTTGAATGCATACCTGTATGCCCGTGACCTTCTGGCCTGTTTATGGGTGTATGGCAGCCAACCCTCTGGGTGTGTCTGGTTGGCTGGTATGTGGTTTGGGGCTCTGAGACCATCTGATGGACAGGAGCGGGAAGGAAATGGTCAGCTCTGGGAAGCCACCCGCCCAAGGCCCGTCTCCCTCTGTGGCCCAGATCTTCCTGTGGCTTGGGGAAGCTGCAAGTGAGCAGAAGAAAGATGCTGTGGCCTGGGGCCAAGAGTACCTGCAGACCCATCCGGCAGGGAGGAGCCAGGCCACACCTATCGTGCTGGTAAAGCAGGGCCACGAGCCTCCCACCTTCACCAGATGGTTCTTCACCTGGGACCCCTACAAGTGGGCCGTGAGTGAGGTCTGAACCCCCCAGCCTAACCCTAATCCAGGGGAGAGAGGCCTGCCCTGCGTAAACTGAAAAGAGGCATAACCCTGCCTGGGGACTCCCAGTGTAGGTTGGGGAGAACTGGTCTTGTCCTCTCCCCCGCCCCCCAGGTCCCAGGGGTGCTCTTCCATCTCACCCCTGCCCTGATTCTTGCCGCCAGAACAAGCAGTCTTATGACAAGGTGATGAAGGGCAGCCTGGGAGCAGTATCTGCCATCTCTAAGATAACAGCAGTGAGTGTTGGGGACTCCAAGGGGTCTGTGCCCAGTTGGCACGGTCCAGAGGAGCAGAGGGGCAGGGAAGGGGCCAGGCCCTGGTCGGTGACAGGGATCGAAGTTGGGGGAAAGAGGGCCAGTGTGCTTAGTGTGGCCTTCCCATGGGAGCCTATCCCCCATCTTCCCCAGTCTGAGTCCCCTCTCTGGACAGGAAGTCCACAACTTCCGGCTGTCCAGATGGTCAAGCAATGGCAGGACAGGCCCCTTGGCCCTACAGGGATCCCAGGACAGCTCAGAAAATGGGCTGGAGCTGGGCCCCAAGGTGAGCGGCAGCAGCACCAGCACCAGCACCAGCACCAGCAGTTACTATAGCTGCGCCAGGCCCATGATCAACGGGGGCCTGCCCCGCGAACAGCTGATGCACCAGGCCGCCGAGGACCTGCCAGAGGGAGTGGATCCAGCCCACAAGGAGGTAGGTGCCCGAGACCCCATGCCACTCACTGCCCCAGCCCTAGCGCACCTAAAACTGAGGCGCCCAGGGCAATGGGCAGGCTGCCCGGGGAGATGTGTGCTCCAGATGGGGTGATGGGCAGAGATGTGGGAGAGGAGAGACTCGAGCCCTGGGATGACACCTCTGGGTAGGACAAAATGCTGGGCTCAGTTGACCCCCTTCCCCTGTATCTACCTCCCGACCCTCACAGTTCTACCTCTCAGACGCTGACTTCCAAGATATCTTTGGGAAATCCAAAGAGGATTTCTACAGCATGGCCAAGTGGAAGCAGCAGCAGGAGAAAAAGCAACTCGGCTTCTTCTGAACCCAGGCCCTCTCCTGCCGGTGCCACCCGTACGGCCAAGCCCCTGTGGGTAACGCCCCCACACCTCCCTGAGCCCCTGAGGAGACTCTTTGGGTCACAATGCGCCCCCCGCTTCCTGGTCAATAAAAGCTCGTGGCCCTCACAAGGTGTGGTATGTGGGCTTTTAAGACTGGATTGCTCAGTAGGTCTACCTCTGGGGCTTCAAGGGGTGATCTCTCCATGCCCTCCTCCATGGAGGGGTTTGTTTCTTGCTGTTCCCTCCTGCCCGGGGGGACAGACGGCCCTCTCAGTACAGTGTGAGTGTGGGGAGGTAGAGAGTGGGGTGCTGGGGTGCCAGTGTTCGGGGACACACGAACGTGCACACTTTACAGAGAACTTCTCGCATGCAGGTAAAGAGATCACAGCACTTGGTCTTATGATTTTTATAAAAACCCTCAACCTAGGGCTGGGCAGAGGGCAGAGGGGGCTGCAGTGTTGTTCCTGACAGACTTGAGGACAGACCCAGGGACCAGACCAGCTCCTAGGGCCCCGGAGACGCAGCAGCACAGACAGTATGTTAGACCTGAAGGCAGCGCGGGCCACTAGCTCTGAGCGAGAGGTTGGGAGCAGCCACACCTGCCCTGTCCCCAGATGTGCACAGAGGGCCTGGTCCGCTCCCAAGCCTAGTCCTGGAGGGACACCTTCACAAAGAGGGTGGCAGATGGATGCTGGTCTCCATTCTTGGACAAGAGGTGGACGTGGCGGTATCCTGGCAGGCGAGAAGACGGGAAGGAGCACACAGGGAGAGTTTCGGTCACTCGGGGAAGGTGCTTCCAGGGACAGCCACCCCAGCCCAAGACGTTCCAGGCCCCGCCTCCCCACACCTTGCCATGCCCCCTCCCCTCGACAGACACTCACCCTGCTTGAGGCTGTTCAGGGGGATAGTGCTTTGGCCAATGAAGTCATTCTTGGAGGAGGCGTCGTAGTCCTCGACCACGAAGCGCACAAGGGCCAGCTCAGGCACCACCACCTCGAACTCAAACTCCGTGTCCCACCGTGGGTTGAAACCTAGGGGTACAGGCACCACGTCATCAGCCTGGACACCAGCTCCAGAGGCTGGGCCCAGCCTAGGCCCAGCACTTACCATTATCAGTGACTACTGCGGTCTGGCGGCTGGCCACATCCCGGCCCACACCGTGGATTTCCACGGTCACCTTGGGGTCTACAATCGAATTCTTATTCTTGTTAACTTTGGGCAGCTGCTGTCCTGAGATGATCTAGAAAAACGTGGTAGAGGGAAGGATTCCTGTATAGTATGACAAGGAGGAAGAGAGGCCCACGGGCTCCTGTCCCTCCTGTGGCCAGCCGTACCCTGACATTGAGCCTCTTCCGAGTCCACCAGGGCCCCTGAGCCAGGGCGCGTGAGTTGAAGGTGGAGTTGGGGTCTCGCAGGAAGGCGGGCTTCAGCACGTACCCGCAGGCCCCATTGTCCTGGAAGCGTCCCTGATACACGTCCATCTCTGGCCCGGGGGTCTGGAAGTTCAGGGCCACTACAGGTAGGACACAGCGGTCACAGGCTGTAAGGTGGCCTCTGGGGACCTAGAGTCCAGCCTCCTCTGGGTACCCTGAGGCCTTAGCGTCACCCGGTGAGGCAGAAGCAGGGTCCAGTATCACTCCGATGCCTACTGCCCTCCTGCCACTGTAACTGACCCACCAAACCAACCTAACATTCCATTTCTGGTGCCAGAATTCAAAGGACTAGTGTGCTAACTATCTAGTGGGGGATAAGTCTAAACTGAGATCACCAGCTCCTAAACCTATAAATCCTGCGTCTGGCCCTGCTTGGGTCCCCAGAGGCTCCAGGTACCTGTCCCTCTGGCCTGAAACCCTCATCTGAGCCTCCTCCCAGCCCCAGCCAGCCCATACCGATCTGGCAGCCCCCATTCCACATCTCCACAGGGCTGTAGTTGGAAGAGTCCGTTCTCCACCCAGCGGGGTAGATCCTGCTCAGGTGACTCACGTTGTGGCGGACAAGGCTGTTTCCTGAGGAGGGTGTGGGTCGGTCAGACGTCGAGGCCCCCACATGAGTGTGAGCCCCTCCCCACCAGCCCTCCTGGTAAGAGCAGGGGGTGCTGACTGTCCAGGGCGGTGGGAGCCGGGCCTGGGCTCACCTGACTCTTGGAGTAGTCGGAGGACACGGTTCTCGGAGAAGGACACCATCTCATAGAAAGCCTGCCCTGGGCTGCCAGGGCTGGAGAAGCCCCGAAAGTGGACACTCTTGCAGTAAATGACCATATCGGAGAGCTCCTTCACTAGCCTGATCTTGTCCTCCTGGGGGCCATGGGGAGGCCCGGGTTAGAGTCAGAGGTTGGGGCAGGTGGGCACTGAGAGAACCAGAAACCCAGACACAGAGAGACAGAGGGAGGGAGACAGACAGAGAGAGAGGGGGGCAGAGGGTCTGAGTGGCAGCCACAGAGAACTGAGACAAGGCGAACATCCCACCGGGTGATGGGGAGTGACGGGGGAGGGCCCCAGGGCTGCCCCTCCCCCACCCCCACCCACAGCTTCCCCTCGAACCCTGGGCTCGTGCTGCACTCGGCTCCTCACTGCCTCATCTTCCATCTCCGCAGCCTCGTCTTCATCTGACACGACAGTGGCCTCAGGGCCACCTTCCCCTCCGGGGGGCAGGAGCCCCCCAAGCTTCTTCCCCTTCAGCAAGATCTTCCCCTTCAGTTGCTAAGGATGGAGGGAAAGCTGGTCAAGACTAAGGTGGCCGCCCAGCCAGTGCCCCTGCCCTCTCCCCTGGGCAGCCCCTTCCCCACCGGGCACCTCGGGGGAAGGCAGGCTGGTGGTGACCCCATCCAGTGGCCGGTCCAACAGCATGGGGCCCAGGGTAGCATGCAGGTGTCGCGCCATCACGCGCTGCTGCTCCAGGCTGCAGTGGTTCTCCAGGGACAGGATGACAGGGTAGGGGGACACCTGGAGGCCCAAGGGCAGATTAGGAGGGGTTGGATGCCCCTAGCATCCTCCTCCACCCCGACCCCTGGGGTGCGGCCACCTTGAAGGCGTAGTCCCGGATAGCCCTGAGCACGTCGCAGAAGAGGATCTTGGAGGTGAAAGTGTAGCCATGGTAGATGACAGGCTCCTGGTTGGGCCCATCCCAGCAGTCAAGCTCCAAGCAGCGGCAGCCTTTGCACAGCGCCCTGCAGGGAGGGGTGGTGGTGCTAGGACCCTCTGGTCCTGCCCCTACCTGGCCCAGAGCTCCCCGCCCAGCTCCCTGCCCAGCCCCTCCCGCCCCCCACCACCACCCGTGGCCCCACCGGATGTAGGCTTCGGTGCTGCTGGGCCCGGTGAGCTGGTCTTCGAGCAGGTAGGTGTTGTGTGAGGAAGATACCAGGTAGTGGCTGAGCGGCTGGCCCATATCCTGGTACACCCGCCGGTGCGCCAGGCTGAAGGCGCTGCCGTCGGCAGACAGCAGGTACATGAGGAAGCCGTCCTTGGTCATCTGCTGCTGCGCCTTGGCTGGGAGGGTGGACACGGGTGCCAGTCAGAGCCTTCCGTTGGCCAGCCACCTCCTGGGGTCCCGGGGCGCCACTGCTCCTGGCAGAAGAGCCCCCAGGCCCTCTGCTTCCTGGTCCTGAGCTCGTCCTACTATCTCTTGGAAGGGGGTAAGTTTGAGTCTCTCCACCAGACTGTGGCTACCCCAGAGTGGAGCCCTGTCCCTTCCTCTCCTGTCCCCCACACTGTGAGGCCCCTTGAGGACAGTCCCTCATCTCCTCTATGCCTCCAGACTGGAGCCCCCTCTAGAACAGGGTCCCGTCCTGTCTCAAAGCTGGGCCCAGGATGGGCACAAAAAGGAAGCAGGAAAAATCTGCTTTTCCAGCTTCCTCTCTGTTCCCTGGGGGAGGGGTCCTCAAAACCCCCTGAAGGAGGAACCGAGGCATGTAGTGATGCTGGAGCCCCGTTTCCCATCAGCCTGCTTTCATGGGGCAGGCAATTACGGCCCAGGAGGCCTGGGGCTGGCTGCGGCGTCCCCATCCCTGCAGCTCCCTAGTCGAGGGCCACAGTCTCCCTGGGGGTCTCTCAGCCCAGTGTAGTCCTGGGGACTGCAGGGTGCAGGCCCTGGCCAGGCCCTCACCAGTCTCGCTGGGCTCGTAGCGCTCAATGAGGGAGAGGGCCAGTGCAGGTCCCGCCGCCTCCTCCCGTTGCTGATGCTGCAGAAATGTCACTAACTGATCCACCGACAGGGTCTCCTCCGAGCCTGCGGCCTCGGCAAAGGTTTGATCGATCTCCTCTCGCTGGGTCAGCATCTTGTAGAAGGCCTCAATCTCTTCATCCTCCAGGGAGTCTGTCTGGGAGTGGTCACATTCCTGCAAAGGCAGGACAGCCAAGTGGGCAGGCTCAGAACAGACCCTGGGCTAGGGACGGGGACCCCACTGCCAGGCAGACCTGGCCCTCACTTCTGCCTCACCCTGAAGATCTTCCGGGCATAGCTGTCGTCCACCCGGATGTTGAGCTCCTTCAGGAAATTCTGCAGCTCCTTGAAGCTCATCTTGTTGTCCTTGTTTTTGTCAGCTTTTCGCAAGCAGGAGTGAATCCAGCTGGGCAAGAAGTTAGGAAAGAACCCAGGAGCCGTGGTATCCCCAGGGTCCCAGCCAGAGCCAGGGTTCAAGCCCAGTGTCAACGGTGGGTCCAGGTGGAGGACTGAGGCCACCTGTAGGCACAGCTCCCTGCAAGCCTGACTTGCTGCATAGCCGACTTTCAGGGGCAAGACCTGGTGGCCTCTTGAGAGGAAATGTTATATCCTACCTAGTATGGGGTCTTTTTCCTATTTGCTGACTTTGAACCCTTACAAATTAAACACACACACACATTTCTTTCTACAAAAGGGTTCATTACAGACAATTTAGAAAATAGATAAACAAACAAATCACCCATAGACCCAGGGATAACTACTGTTAACGTTTCAAGATGTCACTCTGGTTTTCAATACGTAATTGTTAGTCAACTTGACTAAAGCAGTTGAGGCTTATTTTACAGGAAACAGCGAATTCCAAGCCACTGATCAGAAGGTGGGGACATCCTATGCAAAAACAAAGCCTGGATCACGTTGTCATGATTGGGGCACTTAGGCCCCCGCCGCTTACCTCTACACTCTCTCCCCTCAGCCTCCCAATTCCAGGCTGGTTACAGATGGGAAGAGGGGACAGCAGCGGGGGCTGCATAGTTGTCTGTCCTTGGGTCAGAGTGAACCAAAGAGTATTCCAGGTACCTCCTCTGCTTCCCTCCTACGGCTGAATTGTGTTCCCCTAAAATTCACATGTTGAAGCCCTAACCCACAATACGATGGTGTTTGGAGATGAGGCCTTCTGGGAGGTTTAGATGAGGTCATGAGGTGGGGCCCTCATGATGGAATTAGTGCCCTTATAAGAAGAAACCAGAGAGCTTGCTGTCTGTCTCTGGCTCAGTCTCTCTCTGCCATGTGAGGACGCAGTGACACAGCAGCCATCCAAAAACCAGGAAGAGAGCTCTCGCCAGAGCCCAACCCCACCAGCATCCTGCCTCCAGAACTGTGAGAAAATTAATTTCTGTTGTTCAATTCACCCAGGCTGTGGTATTTGGGTATGATGGTCCAAGCTGGGTATCTGCCATACCAAGGCTGCCCTGGGGACAACCACAGCCAGTATCTGCAGGCTGGGCCTGGACCCACTGCCCCCAGAAGGATACTGCTGCAGCTTCTGTCGCTGGTCCATGGAGCCCGAGTGGTGGATAATCTTGCGCAGACCCTGCACCCAGTGCTGGGCATCTGCTGGCGATGGGGCGATGAGGTCTAGTGTGTTTCGCTGGTCCTTAAAGACAATGGAGAAGCAGCGGTCCTCGGGCACGTCACGGGCAAACTTCTCCAGGCCCTCGGTGCGGTGTCCCATCCGTACCTCCTGAATGTCCTCTATGGAGACTGTAGGAAGGGGATGGGGGGGTCAGGCAGAGAGAGGATGAGGCCGAGCCCTGCCCCCGGCATGGCCGGGGCCACAGTGTAAGGGCGCACAGCTTAGAGACAGAGCCGGGGCTGGAGCTCAGGCCTCCATCCAGAAAGAAAGGATGAGGCAGAAGGAAAGACAAGGGGCGCGAAAAAGAGGAAGACAGAGACTGACGGGGAGAAGGAATGTGGGACACAGCTTAACGCGCAGAGTGGAAACACGGCCAGGGGAATGACTTTAGGGCGGGAAGAGTGCCTGGGACCCCAGGCCCACTGTTTCTGTGCTGTAGGGAACAAGGCCGCTGGGAGAACTGGGGCCGGGCAAGGCTCTTAGACAGATGGGGGAGCACGGGGGCCTGTGACACAGAGGTCACACACCCTCTTGAACATAATTGACTTTGGACTCGTCCTCCCCTCAGACAGCCTAGAGAGCCTCCAGGTCCTCGGTCAGCCCCGGCCTCGGGGTATGAGAGCAGAGGGCCAAAGACAGCAGGAGAAGTGCTTGTGTCAGAGGGTTGGGAGGGCTTTGCTCTGTGTGTATCTGTATGTGTCCTCCTGGCAAGGAGAGTGCATGCAGGCTCTGTTCCTCCAGGGTCCCAAGAGGCAGACTGGAGGGGTGCCCTTTGGGGAGAGATTACATCATTCTACCCTTGGGAACCAGGAGGAAGGCTCTGCTTTCCAAGCTTCGGGGAGCAGCAAGGCCCTACCTACCCTCCCTCACCCCCCAATGTGTCTTCCCTGGCCTGGCCCGGAGCCAGTCCCACCAGCTGGGCTCATGCTGGGCCTCTCAGCATCAGAGTCCAGGCTCTGTGTCCTCCCCACCCCCTTTCTGAGCCATCCACATCCATCTGTCCTGTGTCCCAGACTAGCTCTGGCTAAAAGCCCACCTGTTCCTTCTGGTGCCTACTCACACCCTGAATGCCCCAGGGCCTGCTAGCCACCTGCAGGTGCCATGTGCCCAGCCCAGGCAGCAGGCTCTGAGGAGTAGGACACGTGAGCCCTGGGCCATATAAGGAGTCGGGGATATCCCTGCTTAATCCCTCTGTCCACAGCCTCCTGTGCCCCCCTAGGCCCCACAGCAGCTGCAGCTGACCCAGGCTGGGAGTGAAAACAGGAAGCCTGCGCCATGGAGCTCCTGGGCCAGCACCCCCACCCACACCAACGAGAAAGTCCAGATGCCTTTGATGCTGATACTGCCTCGTCCGCCTCTGGGAATCAGACTCAAGGCAGGGGCTAGTAGTGGCAGGATCAGGGGAGACTTAGACATCAGGGAGCAGAGGCAGAGAAGAGTGGGGGTAGGGGGCTGCTCCACTCCTCCCTCACCTGGCGTCAGATTCCCTGACGGACAGCAGTCTCACTTGCCTAGAGAAGGGACGCAGCCAACAGGCAAACTCATCCCAAGGCCTGTATCGGTGGCCCTGGCATGGAAGAGAGCCTCTTCTGGCCACAGTCCTCACCTGACCACACCTGACGTCCAACCCCGGACCTGTCACCGCTGCAGCCGCTCCTGTCAGGGTGCAGGCCCCTCACTCCTGTGCCTTCCTCGTTCTCACCTCTGCACCTTTGCTCGCACCAGATCTTCCCGCCCTTGCGCTCACAGCTGTACCAGTATGAGGGTCTCACCTGGCCAGTGCAGGTCTAGAAAGGCCTGAGTCTCTATTATGCTACTGCCCCATGCCCATCCCCTGCAGGTGCTGGGCACACCCGGGTAACCATGCATACGTACTGGTTGGCCAGTGGGCTCCCAGGAATCCCCAGGGCTCAGAGTGTAAGATACCCGCTTCCCGCCATGCCGCCACCGGCCAGCATCTAACAGGAAACTCCATGCCAGGGCAGGGGCCTGTGAAGAAGCCTGGCTGGTACCACAGAGGCAAGGTCAGGGTCACCCCTATGCTATGTGGCAGACATGTGCTGAGGATGGCGTTTTGAGAGCACTTCAGACTCCATCCCCTCTGACCCCGCCCTCCTTTGCTCAGAAACTTCCCACGGCCTGTAGCCCCAAGGCTCCCGCCCTGCTCTTCCCATCTGCCCCTGCTCCTGTCCCGCCTCGCCTCTTCCACAGGCCAGCAGGCCATACCTTCTCAGTGTTCCAAGGGCTGGCAGACCCCTCCTTTGTTTGGTTTCATTCCCTACAGAGCTTCCGGTGGGCTGGCCTGCCTGCCCCTCAAGAGCCAAGGGCAGGGGGATTTCCAGGAGGCTGGGCTGTGTAAAACCCAGCTGCAATGGTCTCTCTGCACTGTCCAATACAACAGCCACCAGATACATGTGGAGACTTAAATATAAATTCATTAAAATTCAATAAAATTAAGAGTTCAGTTCCTCAGTCACACTAGCCACATTTCAAGCACTCAATGGCCACAGGTGGCTAGTGGCACCTGTGTCAGATAGCACAGATACAGAACATTTCCACCGACATGGGAAGTTCTCTTGGATAACATTGGTTTGAAATTTTCCCACCAAGTGGAGGTGCAGGGTAGACCTCTCATCTGACAGAATTTTTAGGGTATTCTTAGGTTAAGGGGGACAGTCAGCAAAGCTTTCTCCATTTGCAGGGAACAGTCTCCATTTGCAGGATTCCTGGACCCTTTCCGAAGCTTCTGGAAAGCCCTCAGGCCCACACCCTCCAGGGAGCTACCCAGCGGAGGCCTCTCTCTTCGGTCCTAGCCCTGCTCTGGCACAACCTCCCTGCTATGGCCCCAACCCCAGCAAAGGGCCACCTCCTGCAGTCCCACCTCATATCCTGGCCACTCATATTCAGAAGAGCCTTATCTGTCCCCAGACACTGGGCTGGCTTTTGCCCTCACCACGCCTGGAGTCCTAGTTTGCCCAATTTCCCTCCCTCCCACAATGACCTGGGCAGACACACCTGTGAATTTCCCCAGCCCCGTTCAACTCCCTCCCTAATTCTGAGCCTGCTTCCCAATTTGTGGTCCTGGTCCATGGTGGACCTCTACCCCCAGCCAGCATCAGTGTCCCCATCGAAGCAGGGGTGACATACTCTGCCTCCTACCCTGTAGCCCCGGGGCACTCACATAGCTGGGACTCTGGGGTCCGCATGACCTTGCGAGACTCCTGCCAGATGGTCTTGCAGTCCTCCTGCAGCTTGTAGAAGCGCTCTCTCCGCCATGAGTTGGACTTCACCTTCAGAAGCTGGCTGCCCTTCAGCAGAGCCTGTAGGTCCTCGTCATCCTGTAGGCCTAGGGGTCAGAGCTGGTAAGATGCCACCTCCTCCATTGTCCTTGCTACTCCAGACCCTACACTAGCCACACCCACTTCTGGACCCTTCCAGAGCCCACTTTTCATCATCCTCATCCTCAGCTCTTTGCCTCCACCACAAAGTCATCTCTGATTGCCAGCTAAGGCTATGTATACCTTAGACACTTACCCACTCAAGGCCACAATGTACCTGGTCACCCACAGTTGAATGGATAAAGGGAGGTCAGCTAATCTAAGAACACCTGATCCTTGGGGGATCAGACCCCTAGAAAGTGGCCTGGCTCTGAAAGACGAGGTGGGCCCCTCCTGGTCACACTTAATGACCTATCATTGTAATGTAGAGAGAGATACATCTATATCTGCATCTGTATGTATCGCCTATATCTGTATTTATATCTAGATCTGTATCTGTAGCAATCATCCCAGCCACATGTAGTCCGGCACCCAGCTCTGTTCAGAGCCAACTGGCCATCTCACCTCACACCTGTCACTGAAATAAAAACTGCGTGGCCTCAGCAATCTCTGCCCTTCTGTTCGAGCAGAGTGGTGGTGTCAGAGACCATGTGGGTGCAGTCTGGGGGGCCTGTGCCTAGGCCTATAAGTTTTTATTTTCTGAGCTCAGATCTCCAGCCCTTTATAGCCTCCCCTACTTTAACCTTGTCCGCTTCACTCCCCAGCCAACCCCACACACCCACAAGACCTACAGACCCTTCTGTACCACTTCCTTAAGCCTCAGCCACCCACATCCTCTTTTTCCCTCCCCAATCTCCTGCCTCCAGTGGGGAAAGAGCCCAGTGCTAACACGCCCCCCCACACACACGCACCCCACCGCTTTAGGCAACTCCCTTCCCTCTCTGCGCCTCTGTTCTGCCATCTGCTACTGGGTGAGAACAGTGCTGGAGGGGACATCTCCGGGCCTCCTTAGTCAGAGGTGACATTCTGGTGTGATCTTCCCTCACCTTTGTCCCAAGTCTCTCCACTACTTCCAGGAGACCCCTCTGCCTGAGGGAAGCCCCAGGGGAAGCCTAGAAGAGAAGAGGGCTCCTGCAGGCTGTCCTAAACTGTTTGTTGGCTGTGTCTGTAGGGCTCAAGACAAGAGGAAGTGGGAAAGGGTCCCCAGCCTGCCAGAGGAGAGT